ACATGGATCACAAGCAAACTCAATGGGATTGAGAAAGTTGAAGACCAACACAAAGCAAAACAACAACAACAACAAAAAAGATTCAAGACATGAAGAAAAAAACTCGCTAAAGAGATAGACATTATAAGAAAAGACATAACAGAACTTCTAGAACTGAGTCATTTAGGGAACTTCAAAATATAGTGGTAAGTTTCAACAACATACTCAAAAGAAAGAATCTCAGAGCTTTAATCCAGTTAGTGAAAAATGAAAAAAAAATAATCACGAAGAATGAACAAAGTCTTTAAGAATTAAGGGATTTTGTAAAATGATCAAACATAAGAATTATAGGTATCCCTGATGGAGAATGAAAAAAACCAAGAAGCATTGAAAACCTACTTGAGGGAATAATGGAGGAAAACTTTCCTGGTTTTGCTATCCAGATACAAGAGGGGCATAGAACTTCTGGAAGATTTATTCCAAATAGGGCATCTCCAAAGCACATAATCCTCAATCTAGCCAAGGTCAATGTGAAGGAGAAAATACTACAAGCTGCAAGATAAAAGCATCAAGTAATTTACAAAGGAAAAACCATAAGACTAACAGCAGATTTCTAAGAAAAAATCTTACAACCTATAAGGTAATGAGGTCTTATCTTTAGCATTCTGAAACAGAATAACTGTCAGCTAAGAATTTTGTATCCTTTAAAACTAAGATTCAAAATGAAGGCCAAATGAAGTCTTTCTGAGACAAGCAAACACTTCCAACATTGATGAAAGAACTCGAATGTTTATAGCAGCATAATTCACAGTTGCAAAGATGTAGAAACAACCCAAGTGTCCATAAATACATCACTGGATTAATAAAATGTGGTATATGATTACCATGGAGTACTACTCAGCTATAAGAAACAATGATGATATAGCACCTCTTATATTTTCCTGGATAGAACTGGAACCCATTCTACTAAGTGAAATATCCCACGAATGGAAAAATAAGCACCACATGTACTCACCAGGCAATTGGTTTCACTGATCAACACCTAAGTGGACATGTAGGAATAACATTTATCAGGCATCAGGCAGATGGCAGGGGGAAAGAGGGGATGGGCATATATATACATAACGAGTGCAATGCACACCATCTGGGGGATGGACACACCTGATGCTCTGACTCTAGGGGGGAGGAGGTACAAGGGCAACATACATAACCTAAACATTTGTACTCCCATAATATGCTGAAATAAATAAATAAATAAATAAATAAATAAATAAATAAATAAAAGAAAATAAACTATAGATGACACGAATAAATGGAAAGACATCCCATGTTAATGGATTGGTAGAATCAATATGGTTAAAATGTCCATACTGCCCAAAGTAATGTACAGGTTCTATGAAATTCCCATAAAAATAGCAATGTCATATTTCACAGATTTAGAAAAAATAATTCTACCCTTCATTTGGAACTAAAAAGACCCCAAATATCCAAAGCATTCTTAACCAAAAAGAACAAATCTGGAGGCATCACATCACCTGACTTCAAATTATACTACAAGGGTATAGTAACCAAAACAGCATGGGACTGGCATAAAAGTAGAGACATAGACCAACAGAATAGAATGCAGAAACCAGAAGTAAAACCATCTACCTACAACCAACTGATCTTCTACAAAGAAAACAAAAACATACACTGGGGAAAGGAAGATCTATTCAATAAATAGGGCTGGGAATATTGGATAGTCACATACAGAAGAATAAAACAAGATGTTTATCTCTTGCCATATACAAAAATTAATTCAAGATAGATTAAAGACTGAAATATAAGGAATGAAACCATAAAAATTCTAGAAGAAAATGTAAGAAAAACTCTTCTAAACATTGGCCTAGGCAAAGAATTTATGACTAAGACCCCCAAGGCAAATATAGCAACAACAAAAATAAGTAAGTGGAACTTAAATAAATTATAAAGCCTCTGCACAGCAAAGTAAATAGTCAACATAGTAAATAGACGAATTACAGAATGGGAGAAAATATTCACAAGCTACACATGCAGCAAAGGGCTAAAATCCATAATCTACCAAAAACTCAAACAAATCAGCGCAAAGAGAACAAGCAACCCCATCAAAAAATGAGTGAACGACATGAACAGAACTTCATTAAAAGAAGAGAGACAAATGACCAAGAAACATACAAAAAAATGGTCAACATCACTAATCATCAGGAAAATGCAAATTAAAAAGACAATGTGATATTGCCTTACCCCTGCCGGAATGGTCATTATTAAAAAGTAGAGCAACATCAAATACTGGTGTGGATGCCTCAGAGAAAAAGGAATGCTTAACACTGTTCGTTGAACTGCAAATTAGTACAACCTTTATAGAAAACAGTATGGAGATTTCTCTAAGAAATAAAAGTAGATTTACCATTTGATCCAGCAGTCCTAATACTGGGTACATACTCAAAGGATATGAAGTTATTTTATAAAAAAATAAAATCTGCACCCAAATGTTTATTGCAGTAAAATTCACAATAGTAAACGTATGAAATCAACTTAAGTACCCATTTTCTTTCTCACCATATGAGTTGATAAAGAAAATCTGGTGTGCATGTGTGTGTGTGTGTGTGTGTGTGTGTGTGTGTGTGTGTATAGCCCATGGATTACTACTCAGCCATAAAAAAGAATGAAATTATGTATTTTGCAGCAACTTGGTTGTAACTGGAGACCATTATCCTAAGTGAATGTCTCAGGAATGACAACCAACACTGCATATTCCAACTTATAAGTGGGAGTAAAACGATAGGTATATATAGTCATAAAGTGGTATAATGGACATTAGAAACTACAAATAGGGAGGGGGAGGGGAGTAAGTAATACAAATTCACCTATTGAGTACAATGTACACTAATCTGGTGACAGGAACACTAAAAGCCCTGACTTCAACATTATATAATTCATACATGTAACATAAAACACTTGTGTTCCCTTAATCTATTGAAACATATAAAATAAATGTGATCTCATATAAAAATGAGTAGGATGAAATATGTTATTCACTAATATATCTCATTAATCTTCAAATTTTGTTAAAATGCATAGTTGTGTGTTATCTGATGTCTGTCTAGAATCTCCCAAAGTTTGATCTGGGGCATCGTACCCTTCATGTATAAACTATATTCTCTAGACTCCCTGGCAGGTAGAGAGGCTCAAGACATTGGCATGAAACTACTCATGTCAGCTCTTCAGAAGCAAAGATGTGTTCCCAATACTTTTGCTTTTCTCTGTTCTGTAAGCTGGAATTATGATGTGGCAGTGACTAGTTTCTACCATGCAGAAGAGAAAACCAGGCCAGGAGATGGTGAAGCAAGATGGAAGAAACCTAGTCCCTAATATTGCTCTTAGAACAGTTCTGTCCTTCCAGCCTGGACATCTCAGTTGTGGTCTGTTTGTCGTGTGACAAAGAAATGACCTTCTACCTTATTTAACTCAATCTAATCTATCATAATGCTATTAAAATTTGAGTCCAAACTAGTATGATTTAGTTATTTGATTTTCTTCACTGATACACTGCTTTAATCCCAACCCTGACCTAAACCCTATCCACTTTTTTTTTGCTGGAAATCTTACAAAACAAAAAACACTGAAAATATAAAGCACAGTAACATATGAAATGAGAGTCATGCAATAATCTCATTTTAATATCTTGGGATTACAAGCCACGGGTGTTTATTCCGCAAGTTAATATATTGTTTGACAGTTCTCTTCCTTCTTGTTCTTTTACACTTTAAACCAGGTTATCTCCTTAGTTTTATTATCTATTAGTACTTAAACATTCCAGAAATGCTATATCAGAGGGGAGAGAAAGACAAGTAGATCCTTCCATTGTTCTAAAGCAAGTATGGAGTCAGACATGTACAGAAATAAATACCACCACAGTGTATTCAATAGTAGAGAAAGGAACACAGTTTTATGGGAGAATAAAGGAAAAAACGTATTTGTTCTAGGGATTTTAGGAGGGTTTCCCAGAGGATATAAAAATGGACTGAATATTAAAGGTTCATTGACTTCTATTCCTGGAGTCCAGTTTGTTTTAAAGGCATGAAGGATACTGGAAAAACTCATACTTTCTCTTCATCCTGAAGATTCTATGGTATTTGTTTCATTCTCTGCCTTTTACTATGTATAAAACAAAACCTATCCCTTCTTACTGACAAAGCTGGAAATAACTACTCCAAGTATCACCCTCCATTAGAAAGGGGTTGTATTATATCTTTAAAACTTTTTTGTTTTTAAATAATTATAAAGTTATAAGATGTTGCAAAAACAGTACAGAGAGGTCCCATGTGCCCTTCATCCAGCTTCCACCAATAGTAACATCCATATAACTATAGTACAAAATCAAAAACAATCTACAGAGCTTATTCAGATGTCACCAGTTTTTACATGAATGCATGTGTATATGTATGTGTGTGTAGTTCTATGTAATTTTATCACATGTGTAGATTCATGTAGTCACAACCATGATCAAGATATTAAACTGTTTCATAATCAAGAAAGAACTCCCTAGTGTTATACCTTTATAGTAGCATGTTCCCCTGCCCTTAATCCCTGGCAATCACTAGTATGCTTTCCATCTTTATAATTTTGTCATTTCAAGAATGTTATATAAATGGAATCATACAGTAAATAACCTTTTTTCAACAGCAAGAATACAGTACAATACAGTACAATGTGTGTGACCAATGTCAAGCAAATATTATCTCTCATCTGGCTAGTTGGAGTCATTTTTCCACTGGAGGGCAACAAACATATGGTGATGTTAATGACTTATCATGCATCTTTGAAAGAAATCAAAGTGTAAGGAAAGAAAGCCAACTGAAAACAAGTAAGAAGCAACTACAGCATTGTTCTTCCTTGCCTAAATTGTCACAAGATGTCAGAGTAGAAAAAGGAAGCCAGGTTGCTGGTGAGCATTGTTGTACTAGGGTGCATAGAAAATTGGCAATGGGTATTTGTCTTACCTTTGGTGCAAAAAATAAGCTAGTTTCCTTGTTAATAATGGTGTGCATGCTCATGGGGTCAGGGGGAAGATTTGCTCTTGCTGTGGAAACCAAAAAGACAAAAAATGAGTTTTTTCTTACTAACTCAAAACCCTCTTCACATCTTAGAACAAGTATCAGATGAATTTTATTTAATATAAAAAGCTAAAAATCTTGCAATTACTATGTACATGAATACATATTTATATAATTGGGGTTGGTGAAAACTATCAAAAAGCATTACACTAAAATAAAATACATATTTGCAAAACAATCATACTAAATAATTAGAACTATTTTTGGCAAAACAATATGTAATAAGCTAAAAGACAAATGAAAAATTTTAAAAAATATATATCTATTTTGGTATGGCAAGTATATATCTGTATTTTGGAAGCTATATATACACACACATATACATATAGAGTAGTCATATATATGCATATATACAGCAAAAGGTTAATATGTTTAGTATAAAACATGATATGTATCTATGTAAAGTTAATATATATTTTATATGTTAAAATCTTCTGAAAATTAATGAAAAAAAACTATCAATTCTCCAGTAGAAAAAAACAAGGGTGAGTATACATTCTCTCAACAATATGTAAGTGTTTACTTTTTACCACATCTGTACCAACATCTACTGTGTTTTGACTTTTTAATAATTACCATTCTGACAGGGTTAAGGTGGTATCTCATTGTGGTTTTAATTTGCATTTCCCTGATGTTGAGCATTTTTTCATATGTTTTTTTGACATTTGTCTATCGTCTTTTGAAAAACTCTGTTCATGCCTTTTGCCCACTTTTTGATGGGGTTATTTGTTTTTGTTTTTGTTTTTTTTTCCTGATTTGTCTGAGTTCTTTGTAGATTCTAGATATTAGTCCTTTCTTGAATGTATAGCTTGTAAATATTTTCTTCCATTGTGTAGGTTGTCTATTTACTCTGTTGATTATTTCCCTGGTTAGTTACCCTCTATGGAAAACAGTGCAGAGATTCCTCAAAGAACTAAAAGTAGACTTATCATTCAACTCAGCAATCCATTAGTTCTCTATCGAAAGGAAAAGAAGTCATTTTATAAAAAATACACATGCTCCCAAATTTTTATCATAGCAAAACTCACAATTGCAAAGATAAGAAATCAACCTAAGTGCCTATCAACTGATGACTATAAAAGGAAAAATACTACTCAGCCATTAAAAGGAATGAAATAATGTCTTTTGCAGCAACTAGCATATAACTAGAGACCATTGTCCTAAATGAAGTATATCAGGAACAAGAAAATCAACAACACATGTTCTCACTTGTAAGTGGGAACTAAATGAAAGGTATATATAGTCATAAAGTGGTGTAATGGACATTGAAAACTAAGAAGGGGGGAGAGTAGGAGGAGCATGAGGGATAAAAATTTGCCTAATGAGTACAATACACACTATTCCAGTAAACTGAAAGCCCTGAGTTTAGCATTACACAATTAACCCATGTAAGAAAAGGCACTTGTACCCTATAAATCTATTGAAATAAAGACACCAAAAATTTAAACAAGAATTTCAGAACACAAATGTCAATCTTTAATAAGTCCTACTTTGTACCCCAAAGGAATCACAGCAACACCAAAAATAAATAAATGGGACCTAATTGAATTAAAAAGTTTCTGCACAGCCAAGGAAACAATCAATAGAGCAAATAGATAACCTACAGAATGAGAGAAAATATTTGCATGCTATACATCTGATAAAGGGCAAATAACCAGAATCTACAGAGAACTCAAGCAAATCAGCAAGAAAAAAATCAAACAACTCCATTAAAAAGTAGGCAAAAGACATGAACAGAAGCTTTTCAAAAGAAGACAGACTAATGGCCAATAAACATATGAAAAGAATGCTCAACATCACTAATCATCAGGGAAATGCAAATCAAAACTACAGTGAGATATCACTTAAATCCACTGAGAATGGCTTTTATCAAAAAGTCCCCCTAAAACAGATACTGGTGTGGATGCGGAGAGAAAGGAACACTTATACACTGTCGGTGGGACTGTAAACTAGTACTACCTCTAGGGAAAGTAGTATGGAGATACCTCAATGAACTTAAAGGAGACCTACCATTTGATCCAGCAATCCCATTATTGGGTATTTACCCAAAGGAAAAAAAAGTCATTTTATCAAAAAGACACTTGCACTCGAATGTTTATTTCAACACAATTCACAATTGCAAAGATGTGGAAAAAACCCATGTCCATCAATACATGAGTGGATTAATAAGATGCAATATATACATATGCATTTCATGGAGTACTACTCAGCCATAACAAAGTAGTAAACTAATACCTTTTGTAACAACCTGGATGGAACTGGAGACCATTCTTCTAAGTGAAATATCACAAGAATGGAAAAACACCACATGTACTCACTATTAAATTGGAACTACTCGATCAACACTCATGTGCACATATGGTAGAAAACTCAACAGAAATCAAGCAGATGGGAGAGGATAAGAAGGGATAGGTAAATTCACACCTAACGGGTACAATGTACACTATCTGGGTGATGGAGAGACTTATAATTTTGACTCAAACTTTACAAAAGCAATTCATGTAACCAAAACATTTGTACCCTCATAATATTCTGGGGAAAAAAGAGTTGGGCTAGTATTACATGGTCACTTGATTTCTTTATTTTATTTTGACAAATATTAGTTGTACTATATATTTATGGGGTGCAATGTGAAATTTTGATAGATGTTTACATTATGAAATGATTAAATCAAGCTAATTAACAAATACATTACCTTATACCTGCACTTTGATATACAAATCTTCCACCAAGGCTCCCTGAAGACTTAAATATCTTTCTCCAATTTTCAGAACCATCTTTGCAATATATAACAAACATTGATGGTTTTATAAGAACAAACACACAACTACACTTAAGAATATGCATGTGCATGCATGCACATACAAACAAAACACACATTTATGTTTTGTTTTCACTTTTTAACATTTCTATCTCCTATGACCAGTATTATAATATCCTTATTTCACAGATTATAAAATCATGACTTGGTAAAGGAAACTGTCATGACTAACAGGCAGCTGGTGAGTTACCCAGTCTAGACTTAAATACAAGTCTCTTGATTCCAAAGGCCCTGCTCTACTCACTGATGTTCTGCTACCTCAAGTGTCCCTAAGGTACATACTGGCTCTGAAATTCTAAAATGTCCTGACTACTTATAAGAGGAGAGCTTCAACTTACGTGGTATGTTGCTTTCTCAAAGTGAGTATTCAAGGCAAGAGTAGAGTGATTAATCAGCCATGATACAACCGCTAAGAATTCAATAGATCTCAAGTAGTAGAATCAAGTTAAGTGTCGTCACACTATGGGAACTATATTTATCGCTTCACCGTGATCCCATAAATGAGAAACATAATTTACAGCTCATTAGAACATGGTTAGCACAACAATATATATTCAAATGTGTTCAAGTAAATTCCTGTTTTGTTTTGTTTTGTTTTGTTTTGTTTTGTTACTTTTGTCAAGCTTCATGTTTCTCTACCAACAGAAACTGAGAAAAGAAAATGTACGCTTGGCAAAGAGCACAGTAGTCCCAATAAATTGATAAACTGTATGCTATAAAGTTCTTTTTTCCATGGCAAATTTTCTGAGTCATCCAGCCACATTGGAACTTTTGAAAATCCCTTTTCAAGAGAGCACCAAAGCAATTGTGTTGCCACCACATCCCCCCCCCCAAGTTCTGATAACCTACTTAATAAAGTACAGAGTTTTTCTGAGGTAAAACTTCACTTCTGAATTCCCATTTTCCCTGTGTTTTCTACTGTGAAGCTCTAAGTGGATATATAATACTTTACGGGTGCTGTAGTGCTCTTCCGAGGAGCCAGGGACCTTCTGAACTCCCAGGTTTCATCATAAAGAGGATTACAATAGATTTATTGTACAGAGGAAGTGAGTTATAAAGTGTTTTCTGTTAGGCATCATTTTAACAGAGAATCTTTCTTGAAAATTTGGTGTTGGCAGAAAAGAACACTCATGCCTGAATGAACAAATTATTTTTCTGAGCCTAGATTTTCCCATAAACTCAGTCTTCCTTGAAGAGTTATTGATTTACTTCCTGGCTTATGAATCCTAGTAAGACTAAAAGAACCAAAAGAAAAATTAAAAACATATACTTCAAAGTGAGCAAACAGTGGAATATTTTTTAATCCTCTTTGATATGACTGTGGTTATAGAAAACCCAGGAATAACTACATAGCCATTATCTGAATAATTTAGTTCCTGGAGTGATCAGATCCCTCCCCAGAAAAATAACCATTATTGAGCATTTTTTATATGTTTTCTGGCCATCATTCTGTCTTCTTAGAAAAGTTCTGTTCATTTCCGTTGCCCATTTCTTAATGGGGTTGTTTGATTTTTTCTTGTTAATTCTTTTGAGTTCTTCTAGATAGATTCTTGTTATCAGACCTTTATCGTAAGTGTGGAGAGCAAATATTTTCTCCCATTCTGTAGGTTATTTGCTCTAATGATAGTTTCCTTGGCTGTGCAGAAGCTTTTTAATTTGATCAGATCCCATTTGTTTATTTTTGTTGCTGCAGTGATTGCTTTGGGGGTCTTCTTCAAGAATTCTTTGCGTAGGCCAGTGTCTGAGAGGGTTTTCCAAACATCTTCTTCTAGGATTCTTAAGGTTTCGCACCTTAGGTTTAAATCTGTTGTCCATCTTGAGTGGATTTTTGTGAGAGGTGAGAGGTAGGGATCCTAATTCATTCTTCTGCATGTAGCTATCCAGTTTTCCCAGCACCATTTATTAAAGAGAGATTCTTTTCCCCATTGTACCAAGAAATCCCCAAACAACAAATGCTGGTAAGGATGTGGAGAGACAGGAACACTCTTACACTGCTGGTGGGACTGCAAATTAGTGCAACCCTTGTGGAAAAGAATTTGGAGATATCTCAAAGAGCTTAAAATAGAAACACCATTCAACCCAGCAATAGCATTATTAGGCATCTTCCCAAAAGAGAATAAGACATTCTATTATAAAGACATCTGTACCCTAAGGTTTATGGCAGCACAATTCAATATTGCAAGGACATGGAAATAACCCAAGTATCCATCAATTTTAATGAGTGGATTATTAAAATTTGGTATATGTTTATAATGGGATATTACTTAATTCTAAGAAATGACAGCAAGAAGCACCACTTATACTATCCTGAATTCAGCTTAAGCCCATTATCCAAAGTGAGGTGACACAAGATCAGAATAATGGGCTCCACATATACGCCATCAAATTGGTACTGATTGATTAATACTATGGTGTTCAAAGGATAGTGGTGTTCACCAGGGATTCGGGGGTTGGGGAGGTAGACCCACATCTGAGGGACGTGGTGGGCATTGTGGAGGGGAAGGGCATACCTCTAACCTTTGCTAGGGAGAGGCAAAGATATAAAATGTAACCAAAATGTTAAAAAAAAAAAAAACATGTATTGGGTGTCGGGCAGGTGGGAGAGGGGAGGAGGGGATGGTTATTTATATACATAGTAAGTGCAATGCACACTGTCTTGGGGATGGACATGTTTGAAGCTCTGACTCAAGGGGGGAGGGAAGACAAGGGCAATGTACATAACCTTAACGTTTGTACTCCCATAATATGCTGAAATAAAAAAAAAAATAGAAAAGAACCATTATTGATGGAAAGCTAAATTTGGGCAATATTTTGTAGGAATCCATGTCCATTATATTTCTGGGAATTTAAACGTATATTTTTAAATGTTATTCATAATAATATTAGGAAATGTGTTTAGCCCCAAGGCTATGCTAGTGTGTAGCCCAGAACGATTTTCATAAACTTTAAAAAATGATGCAAAATACAAGCACTCATATCTCCTACCTAGAATGCTTCTAGAACAGACTTTATTAATATTTTAAACACAATGGAAAGCACACTCATTGTTCTGTTTCTTGAATACCTCATGACACTTTCAGCTTCAGGATGTTTGCAAATGCTCTTGATTCTGCCTGAAATGTTTTTGCCCAATTCTTTGATGTTCTCAGGTCTTGATTTAAATGACAGATACTTAGAAAAGCTTTCTCTGATTCAGTGTTGCCACCCCAGCTTCACCCCCATTATTCCTGTCACATTCATTTTCTCCTCATATTACTTATAATGTTTGTATATATTCTATTTATTCATTTGCTAGTTTAATTTTTGTGGCTTCCTTTGGGATATAAGGTCCATTGTACCTACTGTATCTCAAGTGTAGGTGGAATTGCTATGAAGCTAATCAAGTTTAAGATTCAGATGTACTTGCTTGACTTACATTTGTAAGTTGATATTGTTTTTGTTTTCTTCAAGAAGGCTCCCTAATTAAATAAGTACTGATGCTCAAACATCTGGATTTGCCTTGACCACAGACAGGGTCAAGGTTACTCTAGGGGGTTACTCTAAGATTACCCCCAATGGATCACTCCCTTTTATATATAATACCTTCCCCTTAATGCAGTATATTCAAATATAGGTAATCTGGGAATTTATAGTTGAACAGATCTGAAGTTGAATCGTGGCCCTACCTCTTCTGAGTTAAATAATACAATAAATATTGTAATAAATAAATAGAGTAATAAAAGCCCACCTGGGCATTTGTTTCCAAATCCATGAAATCGAGATAATGTTATTACTTTGGGTTGTTATAAGAATTAGAGATATGTATAAAAAGATCAGTATATATCAGGTGCTTACATGTGTTTGCTGCTGCTATTATTATTGTTGTTATTATGTGAGTGATGGGGAATAGCTTTCCAGCATGGCATTGTATCTACTTTTGGCTATAATCTTTTGTATTCAAAAGGGAACTGAAAGTCGAGAAGAAAACCGTGGTGCTTTTCTGAGAGATTTCAAATGACTGTGAGACATTCTTGCCTTCTGATGTCAGAGGCCTCTTAAACAAAAAGAAATCTTAGAGAATTAAGATAAACAACACACTTAGGATTCCAGGCTGATCATGAAAGAAATAGAGACTGCTAGTCTTCACTTCTCTTTAAAAAAGGAATGGGACAAGATCCTGGAAGGAAAGATGTAGGATAGTATGCCACAGAACTCCTATCAAATGCTTTGGTTATATACTAGTATTAATAATATATTTACATATGGCAATATAATATAGTAATATAATTATAAAATAGACTATGTAGAAATATCAAACATATGATATAAATATAATATATATATGTTCTTACCCAATAATTTACACATATGTGCATATACATGATCTATGTTAAAAATGATTCATTCTGTTAAACTTCCAAAAGACAATGACTTACTATTTTTAATGTATGAAATAAAACACATTCTAAAAGTAGCTTCAGCATAGCATATACTTTGACCAAAGCCAGCTTCATGGGCATGCTACCTGTGTTGTTGAACAGGAGTGCACATTTAGACGGTCCATGTTTGCTTTAAAGTTCTGTTGTTACAAACTTGAAATCCTCAATAATCTTTGAACAGGAGTCCCTAAATTTTCATTTTTCACTGAGCCTGGAAAATTATGTAGCCAGCCCTGACTTCAACTTTTAAGTATGAAATCATATAATTTTGATTTTTAAAATTTTATTGGTTATTTATATGTGTATATGAGTAAACATATACATGTATAAAATATCCTTAGACAAGATGCCATTAGATCTTTCAACAAATAAATATGGATGGCAGATTTATACTTTTAATAAGAATATATTACTTTATTTTTATTTCCATATTATTATATAGGAATTTATTAGGAAGAGAAAAAGATCAAGAAGTTTTGTTACTCCTGAGACAGATGTACCAAAGAATGCTTAGAGGAGGGCCAGCAACGTGTAGAAGCATTTACCTTAAGTGTCAACTCTGAGGTGCCTCTTTTTCTCATTATGTGGCTAACTAAGGTCTCCATGTGCTCACCCAGCCAAGAGTAGTACCTTTACTGTTAGAAAAAAAACGAAAACATTTTCATTATGCAAAATAAAGTCATTCAACTGCCAAAAGCAATCTTCGTGATAAAAAACAGCAATTTTTTCTCTCTTTGCATAAATTAAATTAAGTATAATAATAATAACTTGAGCTTTAGGAATAATAAAATTCTCTTTTATTCCTGTATGTGGTTATAGAATTCCTTTGGTTAATAGATCAGAGTAATTCTTTGCATAGAAACATTTTTATATAAAACATTAGGTGATCACCAGAAACTTTAATATTAATATTTTAAAACTTAAAAATATATAAATATGTGATCAAATTAAGCAATTCAGTAGAGGCTGTGATAATAAGGAAGTTGCCATGGTTCCCAACAGCTTTCAAGAGTCTATTTTATAATTATATTATAATTATATTTCAGAATATAAAGTAGTAAATCAAATTTTATTGTATCCTCACAGAAAGCATCACGATAGCTCAATCTCCATCATAGAACAGGGATTACCAAATGTTTGCTTCTAAGTAATGATAGCTCCGGTAAGAAAATTGCCAACCTTTGGTTTATTAAAAAATGCCAAGTCTTTATTAAGCCCAATCAACAAACCTACAGTTTATTTTTTTTTAATTTTTGAACTTTTTTTTTAAAGTATAAGAGACATAAAGAAAAGAACAAAATTATAAGTATATACCATTTAATCCAGCAATCCAATTACTGGGCGTCTACCCCAAAAAACAAAAGACACTCTACAAAAAATACATCTGCACTCGAATGTTTATAGTAGCACAATTCACAGTTGCAAAGCTGTGGAAACAACCCAAGTGCCCATAAATACATGAGTGGATTAATAAAATGTGGCATATGTATACCATAGAGTACTATTCAGCTATAAGAAACAATGGTAATATAGCACCTCTTGTATTTTCCTGGATAGAGCTGGAACCCATTCTACTAAGTGACGTAAATAAGCACCACATGTACTCACCAGCAAATTTGTATTAACTGATCAACACCTAAGTGGACATATAGGAATAACATTTATTGGGCATTGGGCAGATGGGCAAGGAGAGGAGGAGATGGGTATACACATACATAATGAGTGTAATGCGCACCATCTGGGGGATGGACACACTTGAAACTCTGACTCTTGAAGGGAAGGCGGGGAAAGACAACACACATAACCTAAACATTTGTACCCCCATAATATGCTGAAATTAAAAAATAATAATAAGTATATACAGCTCCATGTATTATCACAAAATGAACACAACCCAGCTAGCAAAGGACCAGGTGAAAAATACAACATTAATCGCATTGCCAAAGTCTCCCATTCATGATGCCTTCTTATCTCTTCTCCCTCCCTTTTTTCCAAAGGTAACATTATCCTTACTTCTAATACCACAAATTAGCTTTGCTTGTTTTAGATAAATGGAATCATTACCATGTGCATTCCTTTGTTTCTGGTTTGTTTCCCTCAATATTACGGTTGTGGAATTCATCCGTGTTGTGATGTGTTATCTGAATTTCATTCCTTTTCACTGCTGTAAAGGAATTTAATATATGAATATTCACAATTTATTCTTCTGTTACATTCTTCATGAACACTTTTGTTGTTTCAAGTGTTAGGCTGTTATGAAGAATACTGCTTTGAATATTTAAACAATGTGGTTTTGTGTACATATTAGACCCTATTTCAAAAAAATGTGTTTTGTGCACACATTTCTGTAGGATCTATTTCTAGCAGTGAAATTATTGGATAATAGAGTATGTACATGTTCAGTTTTAAAAGATCCTGCAAAAAAGAAAGAACAAAAGAATTAATATATTTAAAAAAAGAAAAATGGGCAAAAGACTTGAGAAGACACTTCAAAAGACAACAAATTTCTAATGAACATACAAAAAGGTGCTGAACTTCATTAATATCAGCAATTCTATTTAAAACCACAATGATACACCATTAAATATCCATAGAATAAGTAAACTCAAAAAGACAGTATCAAATATTGGTGAGGATAGAGTTGATAAAACTACTTTGGCAAACCTACAGTTTAAATTCTATTTTTTAATCTCCTTGACAAATCTCTAATTAAACATATAGTATTTTTAGTATCATGCTAAAATAGTAGATTACAGTTTATGCCTTCTCATTTCTATACATTAATATGAAATTTCAGCACCTACAGAGTCCTGTCCACTTTTTACAAATGTTGATTTAGAAGTTCCAGAAAAAGGAAGACTGTAAGCAAAATGTCTATATATGTGAGAAAACTTTGATTACATAGGCTTTGGTGTACACATACACTCCAGTTTTTGCATTATGTATTAATTTTAAACGTGTCTTAAAATTCTGCTGACATTAAAACACTTTTAGCTACTTTACCATGTTCTCAGTGTAATAAAAAGTAGAAAATAGTTTGTGTTCTGGGGATTCATAATAAAATCTCAAAGGCAGATTGCATTTTGATTAAGGTATGGAAGATACATTAGGTTATTGTTGAGAAAATATTCACTCGCTACCTCTTCTGACCCCATGTACATCAGAAGAGTACACATCTACAACCCACTGATGTTGGGTTTGGCAATATGACTTGCTTTAGCCAATGAGATGTTAGTGGACATGACAAGAGACTTGAACTGTTCTTGTGTGATTGTGGGATTGGGCTTGTTCTCATACTTAACTTCCCATAGTCATAATGAAACCACCTTTTATAAATCAATAAAGGGGCACAAGAACTGTGGCAGAGGCCTAAACTCTGCAAAGGCACAGTCATAGTTAATAATAATAACAATCATAATAACCAGCCATTGTCCCCTAGTTTGCTTTCCTATAATTGCTACTCAGGAGTCACACAGCTGATGATCATAGAGATTCTTAACTTTCTCTATAGATAACATCACCCTTGTAAAACCTAAGGCTAGTTTTTGAGCTATCTTCCAGGCCCTGCATTCTAGTAGATTGGCTGACCCACCCAGGCCAGCGGCCCATAGCAAGAATTTGACTCACCTGGTCTTGCAACTCCCACCCAGCACACAACCCCCCCCCCCCCGCCGACTCAGCACAAGAAAACAATTTCTACACTGCTATGTTTCTGCTCAGAACCCAGCCAATCAGCAGACCCAAGTGCCTAGCCCTTTGCCAGACAAACTGTCTTTAAATACACTTCTCCCAAATTCTTGAGGAGATAGATTTGAAAAATTCCTCCCATCTCCTCACTTGGTGCGCCGCGATATTAAACTCTTTCTCCACTGCAACCCCGGCTATCTCAGTGTATTGGCTCTTCTCTGTACAGTGGACAATACAAACTAGTTGGGCTGAAACAATAAAAAGTAGATGCCACAGGTAGAAACAGGATGAGAGTCACATGTACAAGCAGACTTGGAACCCAATATGGTTTGGATGTTTGGCCCCTCCAAATCTCATGTTGAAATTTGATCACCAGTATTGGAGACAAGGCCTGGTGGGAGGTGTTTGGGTCATGGAGGTGGATCCTTCATGAATAACTTGGTGCCCTTCCCCCAATAATGAGTGGATTCTTGTTTTATTAGTTCATGTGAGAACTGGTTGTTTAAAAGAGCCTGCCATCACCTCCTCCTTCCCTTGCTCCCTCTCTCGCCATGTGACACATCTGCATCTCCTTCACCTTCCACCTTGATTGGAAGCTCCCTGAAGCCCTCACCAGGAGCAGATGCTGGTGCCATACTTCTTGTACAGTTTGCAGAACAATGAGCCAAATAAACCTATTTTCTTTATGAATTACCCAGCCTCCAGTATTTTCTTTATAGTAACTCAAATGGAGTAATACAGACTCTAACTGCAGTTCAGAGCGAAGCCCAACCAAACTCAGCCAAGATCACAAAACACCACACAACCTGTGTAACATGAGAGAGAAATAAATACCTGCTATATGTATTGAATTTCGGGTGTTTTCTTTTTTTAATACAGTAAATTTTGGCAATTGTTAACTGAATCAACAAACTATTCAAAGAACTACACAGGTATTTTTAAACTCTTCCAGGGCAAAACCTGATTCAATATCTACCCAGGCAAGGTACATTAGATGAACTGCTAGAATGGTTAAACTGAGACTTTATAACAACATGGGATAACTTGAAAATAAAATTCACTATAAATATTATTTATGCAAAATTACTAATCAATTATATTTAAATACACCTAAATTCATCTTATATTACAGTAATCCTCCGTTATCCATAGTTTTACTTTCTATGGTTTCAGTCACCTGCAGTTAACTACAGTCTGAAACTATTAAATAAAAAATTTCATAAATAAACAATTCATTGGTTTTAAATTGCATGCTATTCTGGCTAACATGATGAAATCTCATGTTGTTTCACCCCGTCCAAGCCAGGATGTGAATTACCCCTTTGTGTAGCATACCCATGCTATATACACTATCTATCCATTTAGTCAGTTCATAGCCATCTCAGTTATAAGATTTAAAAAACATGCTGTATATGAGGTTCAGTACAATCTATGGTTTCAAGCATTCACTAGGAGTCTTAGCATATATCCCACCTGGATAAGGGAGGACTACTGTACTGTGATGGTTAATTTTATATGTCAACTTGACTGGGCTAAAGGATACCCAGATAGTTGGTAAAACATTATTTATGGGTGTGTCTGTGAGATGTTTTCAGAACAGATTAGCATTTGAATCAGCAGGCTGAGTAAAGAAGATGGTCTTCACCAATGTGGATGAACATCATCCAATCCACTGAGGGCCCAAAAAGAACAAAAAGGGCAGAAGAAGGATGGATTTGCTCATGTTCTCCATTTGAGGAGAGATATCCATCTTTTCCTTACCTTGGACATGGACACTCCTGGCTCTTGGGCTTCCAGACTGAAATTAGGACCTAACTCTATCAGCCTCCTGCTCTTCACCCATTTTCAGGCCTTCAGTCTTGGACTGAATTATACTACTAGCTTTCCTGGCTTTCCAGTCTTCAATAGTGGGCTTCTAGGGCTTCATAATCTTGTAAGCCAATTCTCATTATCTACATATCTATCTATCCATCTATATATCTCTCCTATTTATTCTGGTTCTTTGGAGAATCCTGACCAACACAGTAACAATTATATATTCATCCTGACATTCAAAAATATTTAGTAATGTCTATTATAAGTTACCAGGAACATGTAAGCATCATTTAGACCCCCAAACCAGATGTGGACAGGAAGTTGTCAAAAATTCAATAGGGCAATAGGGAAATAGGAAAGAAGATCCATCTGGGGTCCATCTGGGGGCTTTCTGACACATTTTTCTCATCACCTTTACCTCATATTGTCTCAATCGGTTACTATATTCTCTCCTGCTGACTTGGTAGAAGTTTTACCACCAGTATGTTCACTCCATTTCCCTACCTCTTCTTCTGTTTGTACAGAATTTTAAATTAAGGAAAAAACACCAAAAAACCCTCATTTTTCTAATTTAAAGTGACTTCATTCATGGGAACATGAGGAAAGAATGGTAACATATTAATTTTACAACTATACTGTGTGACATGTATGTTCTACTGACTTTAAACTAATGGCTTAGCTTCTCTGGGCCTCAATTTCCTTCCTCATCCATGAGATGTGGAAATAATAATACATAGCCATACTCATCAGCATTGAGATAATCAAATGACATGCCTGAAAACATTTAAGTAAAGTAAGTTATTTGTTCGCTTTCTTTTATTTAGAGGCACTTTTCAGCCATATCAAATTTCCTCCTTGCAGAAAAAAATGTCTTTTGTCATTTCAGTAGTATATCCCCTTTACAGATTCTTCCACTAAATAAAAAAGAGGTTCCTTTTTACAAAAGCAAGAAAAATTTTTTTCTTTTTTTTTTTTAATTCCAGAGTATTACGAGGGTACAAATTCTTTGGTTACATAAATTGCCTTTGCACCACTTAAGTCAGCTATAAGCATGTCCAGACAGCATGCACCATGCTCATTAGGTGTGAATTTACCCATATCCTCCTCTTCCCTCCACCAACTATGAATGTTACTTCCCATATATGCATGTAAGTGTTGATCCATTAATACCGATTTGATGGTAAGTACATGTGGTGTTTGTTTTTCCATCTATGTGATACTTCACTTATAAGAATGGGCTCCACCTCAATCCAGGATAATACAAGGGGTATTAGTTCACCATTTTTTATGGCTGAGTAGTATTCCATGGTATTAATATGCCACATTTTATTAATCCACTCATGAATTGATGGGCACATGGGTTGTTTCCACATCTTTGAAATTGTGAATTGTGCTGCTATAAACATTCGAGTGCAGATGTCTTTTTGATAGAATGTCTTTTTGTCCTTTGGATAAAAATCCATTAGTGGTATTGCTGGATCAATTGGTAGTTTTACTTTAATTGTTTGAGGTATCTCCATACTACTTTTCATACAAGTTGTACTAGCTTGCAGTCCCACCAGCAGTGTAGGAGTGTTCCTTTCTATCTGTATCCACACCAACATTTGTTGTTCTGGGACTTTTTGATAAAAGCCATTCTCACTGGAGTTAAGTGATACCTCA